GGTACCCGGAGACACGTAAGTTCCTCAGACTAAGATCATGTCCCTCCCACCCACCACCACCTCCGGAGCAACTCTACGGTCGGATAAGAGGAGGCGACCTAGTGACTTAACGAGTGCAAACTCCAACCCTTCCTCGCTCCCCCTTGGAGGACCTTTGCGAATGAGACCGTCCTTGTACAAAAAAGCGAAACCTTTGCATAACCACGCACCAACACACACACACACACACACACACACACACACACACACACACACACACACACACACACACACACACACACACACACACACACACACACACACACACACCACCCACACATACATACACACTCTCTCTCTCAAACACAGGCAAACACACACACACACACACACACACACACACACACACACACACACACACACACACACACACATACACATACACATGCACATGCACATACATATACACACACACTCACACAATGAGTTAACAATGAACCCGTTGCACCCAAGGGGGTTGGGGGATGTTTTCGGGGGACCAAGCAACAGCGGCGATGGCTGACAATGGCTTGTGTGTGTGTGTGTGTGTGTGTGTGTGTGTGTGTGTGTGTGTGTGTGTGTGTGTGTGTGTGTGTGCATGCATTGATCCACAGCAAGCGCGGAAGCCCTATGATGTGCGAGACGTGATCGAGCAGTATTCCCAGGGTCACCTCAACATGATGGTCCGCATCAAGGAGCTGCAGAGAAGGTGGAGTCTTTGACCTTGTTTCATTTATTTCTCTCCCACCTTCACTCTTTAACTTAGTGTCAGTTGGTCTGAACCTTTAGTTTTACACCTTTATAAAGGATACCACCTTTTAGTGAAGAAAAAAGTCAGAAAACATAATGTATAATCCCATTTTGCAAAAAAATAAAAGGTCTCGATAAGGCCTTGGTAATTCCATCTCAAGAATGGCACACAATAGCTGTGAAGTGTATTTGTACCATGAGCATTGGAGTTTGTGTCTGTCCTGCCTTTAACCAGGCTGTACTGACATCATGGTCAGCTGAACTGGGTCACTACAGGAAGAGAAGATAGCACCGTTGCAAATTCCTCCATTAAGCATCCAGTAATTGCAGTTCCGTTTGTTACTGTCCTTACGGCTCATCTGACAGACAGGGGAGGGCCTGACTGCTCTCTGATTTGTTACACCTTGTTGAGCTTTAATGAAGTCCAGTCCTCACTAAAGTGGGTCCTACTTGTGTAAATACGTCACCTGAACCCTGTAACACCTTTCGCAGTAAATCAGCTCAAGTATGGAAATGCACCGTGACGTTTCGTAACCTGCAGGCAACCAAATACTGATTCTTTGATTATTTAACACAATTTATAAGTGACTGCAGTAATGTAAGTCTTCCATACAAAGTAAAAAGAGCCAAATATAAGCTGCTGATAAACTGCAATAAAAAGTTTTAACCCTAAAAATATGGGAATTCAACAAAACATCCATAGAAAAAGGTCACGTGACTTATTGACTGACTCCTGCAAAACACCAAAATGATGCAATGACCACTTAAAATGGTTAATAAACAACATTGATAGCTGTAATAAAAAGCCATGCTTTGCAGTGCATATTGAAATTCTATAGTAAATGTAAACATTTCGTATAGTCCATATTATCTTTTGCAAGTCTCATTCTTTTATTTTTACAGATTTTCAATAGGGACACATTTATTTATAGCATCTCTTTTTTCCAAACGGTGATAACTAAAGTACTGTTTAAACTTTGGCACAATAAATTGGCTTATATTATGTTACTGCTTTGTTCATGAGCTGGAATAAGGTGTTGTTTGCTTGACTGAATTTTCTCTGTATCTGGCCAGTGGCTTTACCTTTCTCAGTTAATTTCTTCTGTCTGTTTCCTCAGGCTGGACGGCACACTGGGGAAGCCAGGAATGTTTCTTCCAGGTAAACACACAGCATCTGATAGACAGCCATCACTCCTCGCTCCATCTCTGTGTTTACACCTTGCACATACACAAGCTGAGCCAGACTAAATATGAGAGGAAAAGAGTGGTTTGTAATGTGCAAATATCTCTGTTTGGATGTGGCTATGTTTACGTGTGTGTCTTCATATTTATGAATGTAATCACCCTGCCTTTTTCAGGCATGTTCTAGCAGGCTTATGGATGATTGTATGTCTATGTGTGTGTACGTATGCATGTCCTTCAGTGTGTGTGCATTGGTTTTGAATTTATAGTGAAAGTTAGTAATGAAAGATTTGATAATGTACTATAATTTAATGATGTAGGTGTCATCAACTCTCCTAACCTTTTTTAAATAATATTAAAAATTAAAGCATCATATTTTCAAGTGACATTTGATAGTTTTTGTGTTGTTTACTTTTACTTAACAGTTATAGTCATTTACTATCCGAGTTAAACATATAGTTTACTAAGTATTCATTATGTATAGAGAAATGACGTCAACATGTATAATGTGCACTGCAACTGACTGTATCATGATCAGTAAAAAGGACATTTCGCATGATATGGACATTACTTAAAGCTGTTTTTGCTCATCGATGGTTTCTTCTGCCTGGCTAGAGAAAACCTAAACAAATACTGTTTGTTTAATGCAGTTCCCAAAATATAGTGGAAGTTTAGCCAACCTAAACTTACCAGAAGAATCACTACATTGTGTCGTCACGACCACATAACTCTTAGTTGACATGCATCCACTGTTAACATTACAGTAGGGGGCTGTAAATGTGCCACTGTGACCTTTACTCACAGATCAGCAGAAACTGAATGGACTGGTTATTTCACTTTGAATCATGAGTCCATAAGGCTCTTACTGTTAATGACAGTGTTGTGTTTGTAACGTGTGTAAGCATGTAGCAATTGAGTGTGACTAAATGTACTTTTCTGCTTTTTTCTTTGCAAATAATACCAATTTTGCAATCAAGGTCAATGCATTAAATTAGCATTTGTGTGTAAACGTGTTTTTTTAATTAATTCACTAGGAAAAGGAGAAGATAAAGAATACCCAACTATTGGGGCGAGACTGATCAGGCTGGAAGATAAGGTAGGCACACTCCTGCTGCCCACTGTGTGTTTTGTCTGTGAGGTAAAAGAGATACGATTATTAGATTACCCTTAGCCTTCATAGGCAGGTGTGTGTGTGTGTGTGTGTGTGTGTGTGTGTGTGTGTGTGTGTGTGTGTGTGTGTGTGTGTGTGTGTGTGTGTGTGTGTGTGTGTGTGTGTGTGTGTGTGACTGCAGAACTGTGTGAATAAGTCTCTTTTATCAGATGAATGCATGTTTGGAAATCTTTTGATATGACCTTGTTTTTGGCATTGGCTCTGTCAGCCTGAGCCAATGCCAAACAAACACCTGCGTCCTCTACTCTCCAACCCATCAGCAGCTATTCAGTGCTGCATTTAAGCTGAAGTTACATTATTTTTCATTCAGTTTTCTTTTTTGTGGGCTGGGTTATTTTGATGGTTTTCCATGGCAGCTCTTCCTGTTTCCTGTAATCCTAGGTACGTCGGCTGGTGACAATTCTTGGATGTTTATGTTTCCATATCTGAATATTAGAGTATTGGAAGAATTAGGGAGAAAAGTGGCAAAGCCAAAAAACAACAGCTGTGTTATGAATCCCACGGGTGTAACTAGGCGTGTCTTCTGTCAGGAACAGGCCCAATGTGATGCCTGCATGATGCCAACCCTGATGCCAGTGTGATGCCAAGATAACCTCTTCCCCAGTGGGGATGGTTGTACCAGTTGGACTGGTCTTCGGATGTGACTGCATTTATGCCTCTTATTCTTTCCATGTGCAAATCACAGAATATAAAACGTGTGTTGGTTTTAGTGTGTGGCTACATCTGCTGTTTGTTTGTCTGGCTGGCGGCATCTCTATAAAGTAAAATCGTTTTTGGGGATTTGGAAAGGTTTGGAAATGTGTTTTCGTGTTGAAGCTTGTTTTTCTATGGTGTTGAAAATCAAACCTTATAGTTAAGTTGTTCTCACAACTCGCAGTAAATGAAAACAACTCCTATACAATAGAACAATGCATTCTGCAGCCACTTATTTTCTATTCATGTCAGCCGGCTCAGGATTTCCCCCACTTTTCCTTTGCCACACCACCTCTGCTGCGCTCATCAAGCTGAGGTTCTTTAATGTTTGCATGCGTTTGCTGTTTTCAGACCTCTTTGTTACGCAGAGAGGAGTAATGATCTTGAACCAATGTGCTCTCGGAGCTTGAAGACCTCCCTCTGTGAATGAGTTATGCCCCATTTGCTCTGGGCTACACGTTTTGATCGCAATCTCCTGATTGGAAACATAAACCTGCGGTCAGATATTCCTCTTCTACCTTTGACTCTCTTGCTCTCTTTTTTTCTCTTTTAGTCTTTCCCTCTTTCACTTCTCTCTCCTAACCCTGCCTTGACATAAAATACAATCGAGAGGTGGATAATTGAGAAACAAATTGGTGGAACCATACTGATTCAGCCTTTTTTTCCCCAAAGCAATGTGGAACTAATCACTGTTCCTATATATGCATGCATTTCTGCAACAAGCGCCTCTCAAAGTGAAACAGAACAGTAACTTGTGACACCCATCCTTCATAATTACTGTTTTTCCCGCCTCAGCACACGCCCCCTTCCCCTCTCTGATTTCTGGCTGTGTGAATTTCTTGTTTTGATGGGCTGGCACACCTGTTAAAATGTGAAATGGGGGGGTTTTTTCTTCCCTCAGGCAGCAGGTGGATGAACCCATCGACCTCTTACTTGGTACATTCCCTGCTCCTCCTCCTGATACGCCTGCACCATAACGCTCCAGATATTATTGCTCACTCTAGATCAGTGGTTCTCAAACCTTTTTCAATAATGTACCCCCTTTGAAAAAAAGATTCAGCCAAGTACCCCCTGATCAGCGCAAAAACTATTTGTTAGGGGGGAAAAGCCTATATAAAGAGGTACAGTGCTGCACCATCAGTGTCTGATTTATTAAAACAACAACATGAGAAACACTTAAATGCTACATTTCAAATGTTTACAATCCATCACTAAATTCATGGCAAACCAATTTTAACATCATGCAATAACACTAAGACGACATTAGTTGCATTGGACTGATCTTTTTAATAAGTTGTACTTACAATGTAGTGAGAAGCATGGGCTTGTGCTTCACTGAGGATCTTTGTCATTCTGACAGCGAGGCAAACTGCAGTTATTAGGCCTACACTTCGCGTTTTGAAATATGTGTAACTCTGTTCATATAAAACCCACACTGCTCAAACTTCGTAACTTTGACTAAAATTGGTATATTTATTTATTAATTTTGGGGCGTGGAGAATGAAGAGAAAAAACATATGAGCATTTACCTATAACCGCTCATATAAACATATGCATAATGCTGCGCTATACTTTGCGGCCACACCCTGTTGCCAAGCAACGCTTATTGTTTAGGTGTCCTTTGATAAGCAGGCAGTCGCATCATTAGCTAGAACTAGCTAGATCTGATGGATGTAAACATAAACGCGAGTGAAGTCTAATCGGACGGGAGAGAGAGATCAGCTGCTGTTGACGGAGACACACGCAGCTCTACATAATCACCTGCAGCGGTGAGCGGAGCAAAAGACTATATTTGCATCTTGGAGCAAAACACACACTAAGAGTTAGAACATCGCACTTAGCTATTTGATCTACTATGGAACTAGCTGAACTAGTTATAAATATGTTTATTTACTGTCGGGTCACTCATTACAGGTTCGTCAGCGAGCTGCTGAGCCTGACGGGCAGCGGGCTGTCAGGAGAGGGAGAGGAAAAGAGAGCACCCCGTTTATTTTTCCCATTTTATTATCCAGAGTTACTGTAAACTTTTGAATAAAGTAGTTCATCTACTATTAGTAGTTTGTTTAAATGTATTACTTATTGAGTTGTTTTCATTAACATAAAATAAAACTCACGTACCCCCTGCAGTACTCCAACGTACCCCTAGGGGTCCGCGTACCCCCATTTGACAACCACTGCTCTTGATAAACTAAACATAACACACAGATTTATGTCTGTGGGAAGTGGTGATTTCATATTTACACTACAGAATTGTATTTGTGCTCCTAGCCCTCTCAAATCTTTACATTGTTAAATCATTTCTTGACACCTTACCAAATGTATTCATCACACTTGGAACAACGTTTCCACATACAGTGTGTGTTGCAGCAACAACACAATGCCCCGTCCAAACAGAACACTCAATCTAAATGAACGTTTACAGTAGATGTTTAATGAGATAAAACCAAGTTTGTTTGTCCCGCATCGCTGCTCGCATTTCATAACGTTGTGCAGTTCCTGCGTTGCGTCACCTCTCGCATATTGCTCGTAATAGTAAAGCTAATCACACACGAAGAAAAACCCTGGTGTCACAGTTGGATCGGCTCCGTAGAGGATCTTTTCCAACAGCCCTGAAGAATTATTCATCAACTCTGTGCCCTAATGTTTGTGTGTGGGTGGGTTTGTGTGCGTTTCCATGCCTTTCTCAATACTCACTCTTGGTCAGCGTCCAGCCTCATTTCTTTTTTGACAAATTCCCACTTTCTTTTTTCCCTTTCCTCTGTGAGACATCTTCCACTCTGACTGCTTTATGCTGCAGCTGAGAAAGTAACATAGAATAATTTCCTTGTTGAGCTATTGTCAGCACATCACTTGTAGATTAATTTATCTTTAGTGGGCTGAAGGGGGCTCGGGCATTGTGTGTCCTGTACAGAGATGGACAGTGATTTATCACACAAAGACAAAGACACAACTAGGTCTACACTTACACACATGAGCATAGAGTCGATTAATCACCAACGTGTCTAACCCCACACTCGAAATTGAATTCTCCAGGAGCGACGTGGAAACGAAGATGGATGGCAGTCTGTGACAGTGTGTTATCTTTCTGTCAGACACACTCGATGAAAAATACCCAAACGACAAGCTGAAACAGGGGCCAGTGTCTCTGGGATTCAGCGTGGCCTTTCAGACCGGAGCTCGCTGCGTGCTTTAGGATGAAGTCAGCCCAATGTTTGTGGTAAATCTCCCTCTTTTACAAGGAAAGGGTTTTCCAGAGACAGAAAGACGGAAAGGTCAGGGAAATTACGACAATATGCTTCCACATAGTCTGCAAATAAGTGTCTGGAGAACATGTTTCTTAGTCCGACCCCTTTTTGTTCTAGATATTAACAGTAGTGTGAAGTATTATGGAGCCAAAAGACAGGGACTTTTATTATGTCAGAATGTCACGTTTTTCGTTTTTTTCAAGTTTGCAAGATTTTCCCAAGGTTATATGAAATGTTAGTCAACACCAAATGTATAAGTATGTCTGCTGAAAATAAATAATTTGACAATTGATGATACATTTAAAAATACTGAACAACTTATTGCAAAATAGGTTTTTGAAAGAGAACATATTATGTTGTTCTTTAGGAAGAGTTTTGATTATACCTGATTTCACTACATGTATGTGATTTATTAAAAATGTAAAAAGTGAATTTGATTTAACTTGAAATTAATGAGGGTGATTTCTAATTCACCCTCATTAATTAATTGAATTGTAGCTAATGTCTACATTCTGATTGTTGCCATTTCTAGTAAAAGATACAAACACTATATTAAAAAAAATCCACTGTGCCTTAATGAGTTGGCTCTTTAAAAGCTTGAAGATGATTCACGTCAGTCAGTGTGTGAAAAACAACTGATGTTTCAGCAGCAAGGGGGCAATTACTCGCTATGAGTATCGCATTCAGTAATTGCCGTCATCATTTAGTCATCCGAATGGTATTCAGATATATTTGGAAACTGGGTCTTTGATGGATGTAAAACTGTCAGCAGTGTCTAGTGGTGGGGG